GCTCAGGGCTGGCGCGAGGATGGCCCAGCCAGGCCCTCGAGGGACGCCCAGGCCCGAACCCGGGCTGGGAATGTGGGGAGAACAGCGGGGGACAAAGGCCAGTGGTGCGTCCCTTGGTGGCCAAGATGCCCTGGCCTGTTCCAAAGGGGCTCCTCCTGCCTGGTCGCCAGGCCCCCACCTCCCACCTCTCTGCCATCACCTGGGTGCCCTCTTTGTCCCCAAACATCGCCTTCCTCCACTGGTCAGGGTCCTTTGCTAGGGATGTCAGTGGCCTTGGGCCTAATGATCCTGAGAGGTGCCAGGGGCATCACCTGCCCCCACAACAACTGGGCTCTTTTCTCCTCCTGGCTTCTTGGGCCCTGGCCTGGGTGCTAGGGGTGCTGCCCCGTCTGGGCTGCCATAGCCGAGTGAACACAGGGCACACGGGGGCGTGGAGGGATTCCTGGGGCAATGAGCTTGGAAGGAGGCTCAAGTGCTGGCCAGGCTCAGGGGCCTGGGGTGTGGCCCAGGAGGATGGGTGCTGCTGGAGTAAGCACCGTGCAGGGTGCTGCCGAGTGCACAGGTCAGGTCCACAGGGGCACCCCTCCCAGGCTTACAGGCCCACCCCTGGGAATGGCCCCACCTGGCTTACCTGCCCCCTCTTTAGCAGCCCCTTCAGGATCCAGGCCTGCAGGAGCAGCTGGAGGTCCCTGAAGGGGTGGGCCAGAGTCCCCACCCTGCCTCGGGCTGGCTCTGTTCTCTTAGGGAGAGCGCCCACCCCCACCTTAGCCCCACGAGCGGAGAGGCGGGTGTGCTGGGTGGGAGCAGGATACAAGCCAGGCGTGCCACACACAGCGACCCCCACCAAATAAGGGCACATCAGCCTGTGCTGAGGCCTCTGGTCCCTTTCCTCCTACTGCAGGCAGCTGGGGCGACTGCCTGGGGAGGGGCTTACCGCAGGCCCGCCTCCCCTTTGCTCTGTGCGGGGGGGCAGGTACTCAAGAGAGGGAGGCCCCAAGGGGAGAGAGGAGCTCCCCCATTCCTTGATCCAGAGCCCAGCCCCCGCCCCCCCCTCCCCGCGCCCACCCCTGGCCACCCCCACTGCGATAGCTACGAAGCCCACCCTCCAGGAGGCACTCAGCCAAGCAGTGAATGTGCAGACACAGCCCCAACCCAGGGGTGGACAGAGGACCCAGACAATTAATGAGGCAGAAGGGGACAGACCTGGGGAGCAGGGGCCTCTCTGCTGAGACCCAAAGGGCAGGCAAGAGCGGGCCAGGTGAGGCGCACGCTGGCAGTAGAGACAGCCTGTGCAAAAGCCCTGGGGCCCGTGAGAGGGCCCAGAGGCCAGAGGAAGTGGGGGGTAAGGGGGAGACTGGGTGGAGGCCAGCACCAGGCCACCCTGGGCCTTGTGTACCAGTCTCACACACCCTGACTGCTTGGGGAGGAGGAACACAAGGGGCAAGGCGAGGGCTGGGTGAGGTCTGCAGCTGCCGCTGTAGTGCAGGTGAGAGGGGCCCTGGCTGGGGAGGCAATGAGAAGCCGGGAGCTCCAGTGAGAAATGGAATCCTCAGAACAACACCCTGGCCTATCTGCCTCTCCTGGCCCGGCCCGCCCCTCCTTCATCCACCTCCCAGCTCCCTGCTCTTGGGAGGAGAGGGCCAAGCAGACTAGTTCATACCGCAGTGTGACTGACTGACAGGGGCGGATTGAGGCTCCTTCCCTGCTCAGAACTGTCTCGGCTTGCAGGCGCCCAGCAGTGACGCTCACCTCACCTCGAGACTGCCTGCTCCTCATCAGTCAGCTCAACCTGCCCTCCTTCCCTGCCAGCCTGCCCTGCAGAGCTGGGGACATGTGGCCTGGCCCCATCTACCTCCCCCATGTTCCCTCCGCCCAGGGCAGCTGGGTGGGCATCAGAGCAGGAGCCAGCAGATCCAGGATGCTCTGTACCCACCAGGCGAGCTCCCTGCCTCCCTGTCCAGGGTGCCACCTGCAGGGCACAGAAGCCCCCCTTACAGTCCCCTCCCCCTCCTGCCTGCTAGGGCCACGCCCCAGACCTAATGGTGCTGGATGAGGCTTAGGTCAGGAAGGCAGCTATGCCCACCCTGGGGGAGGAGGTGGACACTGGAGACCTGCTGGGGTCCCCTCCGTGCAGCGACTTCTTGGGCCAGAAACACCAGGGGTGGATGGACCCTGTGTATGACTCTCTCACAGCTCCCCAACCAGGCTTGTGGGGGGGCTCCCTCTCTGAGCTTCCCCGCGCCAGGGGCTGGGGTGAGCTCTGAGGTGGGTGCTCAGCTCTTGCTGGACAAGGCACAGGGTGGGGCCACCCCGCCTGGCCAGGGGGCTTCAGCCCCATCGGGGGGACTCCTGAGGACCAGCCCGGGGAGCAGCCTGTCCCGGGTTTGGACAGAGCCAGCTGAGCTTGAGAGTGAGCGGTGCTTCCGCCCTATCCTGCGGGGCTAAATATAGAGGCCAGGGAGGGGAGTTTCCGGTTACAGCCCCCCCCAAGTGCCGGGAAATCGATGCCAGCTCCATTAGGCCGGGCGGCGTTGGTGCCTGCTGACCGCCCCCATCCACTGCAGAGCAGAGTGAGGGGGGCTGGACTGCACCCAGATCCAGGTGCCCTGTCCAACCCTGCTGGTCTGCAGCCAGCACCCACACCCTCCCCAGGGCACCTCAGAACCCTCCCCCCACTCCGCAGGACAGCAGGCTCCCAATGGGGCATCAGGCAGGCTGGCACATGAGAGAGGTTCCAAGGCTGGGTGGACGTCCCTGGTCTGTAACTCATTCCCCAGATGTGTGGGGGCCCAGTCCTGCGCACCCTCCAGGGGCACACACCACACCCACTGAGGGCCCCTCTCCCCAGCATTCATATCCCTCCTATGGCTGGGCTCCCAGTAGGCCCCACCTGGGTCCCAGCCTGTATTTGCATACAGGTGGTGCTGCTCCAGTGGGCACCTGCCGACAGCCTCCTCAGGGCGGCCTTGACAGCCAGGCCCAGGGGCTGGGCGGCACTGTGCTTCAGGCACCTCTCGGCGCTGCTCCAGCTAGGCTCAGCCGCACACGCACCCTAGGGAGAGCCGGGGCTCTGGGGCCCTCGGTGAGCGCTCACACAAAGGGCCCGCCTGCTAGGGTCAGGTAGGCAGGGCAGGGGGCCTCCGCCTCGAGTGCAGTGCCCCGCATCTGACAACGGGGTCTTAGCTGGAGCCAGAGGCTGTGTGCCCTCCTCAGCACCCACTGTCAGTGCTCTGGGGATGCTGGGCACCAGCACTAAGTCCAGGCTGCAGCCACTCCGGGCAGCTTTCCCCAGATACCCCACCTCCCCCAGGTCAGTGGGCCCTGACCCAGGCTGACCCCCGCCCCCCAGGATGTCACCCAGAGGGCTTGGGAGGCTCTGAGGAAGGGGCCCTCAGAAAGGTTCAGATGGACATCTCTACCCCAGGGAGCCAACTGACCCAGAGGCCAGGCCCTGTCACCACAGCACTTGTCCCACAGGGCATCCTCAAGGGCTATGGTCTCAGTGACAGGCACACTCCCTCCCATGGTGGTGCCCACCCACTCAGGCACCTATGGTCTTCCTGGGACCCTGTCATGGATTGAATTGTGTCCCCTCAAAATACCTGTCAACTTGGCTGGGTCTTGATTCCCAGTATTGCATAATTGTGTATTATTTTGTAATCTAATGTGATTTCCTTATGTGTTGTAAATTTAATCACTAAGCTCTAATAAGATGGATTAGTGGCAGTTACGCTGATGAGGTCTACAAGATTGGATAGTGTCTTAAGCCAATCTCTTCTGAGATGTAAAAGAGAGAAGCAAGCAGAGACACATGGGAACCTCATACCACCAAGAAAGCAGTGCCGGGAGCCGGGCGCATCCTTTGGACCTGAGGTTCCTGCGCTGAGATGCTCCCAGACCAAGGTAAGATTGATGACAAGGACCCTCCTCCATAGCTGACAGAGAGAAAGCTTTTCCCTGGAGCTAATGCCCTGAATTTGGACTTGTAGTCCACTGGACTGTGAGAAAATAAACTTCTCTTTGTTAAAGCCATCCACTTGTGGTATTTCTGTTAGAGCAGCACTAGATGACTCAGACAGACCCTAAGTGCCCAAGGGTTGTGCAGGTAGCCCGGGCTTCTAGGAGAGGTCAGAGGGCAGGGCCGTGGTGCACACCCGCCAGAGAGCCCCCGCTCTAGGGCCCAGTAGCCCCTGCCCACGGCCGTGGGCCGGCTGGGGGTTCAGGAGAGCACCTGGGCCACGGCCTGGGCAGCCACCAAGATCCCCGTCGTCAAGGGGACATTCTTCCGATCCCCCACCCCAGCCCAGGATTTGCACGGCCTGTCCTCTCAAAGCACACCCACCAAGACATTTCTGTGTGCTCTGAGGGAGAAGTGGGGGCCTGTCTCAAACCCCTTGGGGCACCCAGGGGGCACGGAGGGGCTACTCAGCTCTAGGCTCTGGAAGGGCCTCTGGCCTGACCCCAGCCAGGGTGACGACCCCTCCTTGTTCGCTCTGGAACATGTGGCCCAAATTTCTGTCCTTGCTTCCCAGCATCCCCTGCCTCCCCGGCCCCAGTAGGCTGGCTCAGCTGCCACCCCCGTGGCCACAGCTCATTCCGTGGCCCAGTGACCAGTGGGCCCTCCTTGAGCACCTGGCCTGGTCGAGCCACAGTCCCCACCTCTCCCTGCCCCAAAAGGGGGCCCAGCTGCCCCTGCCTCGGGCTGCAATCCTGAGAAGGGTCCCCACTCTCCCTGGGCTGCCCCAGCAGGGCCCACTCCCTTGGCCCACAGCAGCCACCCTCCATGGCCTACAGCCAGAAGCTTCTGCACCACAGAGCTGGGGAGCTCTCAAGGAGATCCTGCTACCCACCCCTTCGAGGCCCATCTCAGAAAGATTCACCATTCCCCATCCCCCCTACCTGTCCCCCACCGAGGCCACAGAGCTTAAGCCAGTGGACAGAGGCTGCATGGCCTTTATTGGGTCTGCAGGGCAGTGGGCGGGTGGCCGACCCCAGGAGTCTCACTGGGCACCCAGGCCAGGTGCCACGTGGCTGAGGAACCAGAAGATACCAAAGATGACACCAAGGGTCTTAGGGACATCCGGGTCGTCCACGAAGGCCTGGGCGCCGTCCAGGGGCAGGTGCATGACCTCTATGAGCTCACCTTCTTCCACCAGGCCCCCACCTGGGCCACTGCGCTGGGCGTCGGTCACCTCCGCATAGAACATGGTCTGGTTGGAGCTGGTCAGCCCCACACCAGATCTACAGGACAAGACAGTGTCTGCTCAGCCACCCCTGGTGGCCCCCAGCCCCCAGTCCCTTCCACAGCCCTCCCAAGCCATCCTCTCCTCTCCACTTCTCCCATCCTGTGGTAGGCAGGACTCTGAGATACACCCTCCAGGTTCTCACCCTGGTGTACACGCCCTGTAGCATCCCCCCCCCTCCAGTGTGGGCGAAACCTCAGGAGGTGATGGGATATCACCCTCGCCACTGAGTTATGTTATGACAAAGCTCAAAGCATTCTGCAGATGTAATTAAGGATCCTAACAGTTGATCTTGAGTTAATCAAAAGAAAGATTACCCTGGGTGGGCCTGACATAATCAGAGGGGCTCCTAAACGAGGATTTAGAGATGGAAGAAGTCAGAGAGATTCTTCTGCTGGCCTTGAAGATGAAATAAACAATCACGCCGTGGGAGGACGTGTGAGGAGGCCTCAAGACCCAAGGGTAGCCTCAAGGAGCTAAGAGGGGCCCCCAGATAACAGCCAACAAGGAAACAAGGACCTGTCACACAGCCACTAGGAACTGAATTCTGCCACAGCCGTGTGGGTTTGGAAGAGGACCCCGGCCCTCAGGTGACATCACAGCCACACAGTGACCGCGGCCGGCACAGAGGACCCAGTGAGCCTGTGCCCGACTCCTCATGTACGGAGACTAACACAGGGAAGGTGTGCTGTCCTGAGCTGCCAAGTCTGTGATAATTTGTTATGTGGCACAGCTGGCTGATGCAGGCCCTGCATCTTTACTCAGGCTGTGCTCTCAGCCAGGCCTCCCTTCCCTCAGCAGGGACTTCCACCTGTACCCAGGGCTCCCAAGCTGGCTGGGAAGGGGGACAAACCCACAGGCCTGGTGCAGCCCCGGCCAGTGAGAGTTCCTCATACAGGTCCTGCAGATGCCAAGTTCCAGGCCAGGGAAGGTGTGTGCCCAGAGGGCCATGCATGGGACTGGGACAAGGTGGCCGTGGCAGGAGTAGGCAACAGCGAGGGCAGCTGAACCCAGTGCATGCAGGCCCGAGGGCCAGGCTGCGCACACACTGGTTCTAGGCTGGAGAGGGGTGTGAGGGAGTCCCCTCCTTCAGTGGGCAGTAGCCAGAGGGGGGCAGGAGGGTGGCAGGCACCAGCCAGCGGTCAGTGGCCCAGACTGGCAGGGGCGGAGAGAAGGAGCAGGCAGCCGAGGTGACTGTAGGCCGTGGGGATGGGGGTAGCAGAGAGGCCAGGCCCGATTCCAGAACAGAAGCGGATGGGCCACGTGTAGGTATGAGGGGAGGGGGAAATGAGGGGTACCTGGGGAGATGCTCAGGTGAAGGAGGCTGGGGTCACCAGGAGGGTGCCAGCTAGCATGAGTCCAGGCCAGAGAGAGGTCTGCGGGGCAGAGGCTGCCCTGGGAGATGGCGGGCACACAGAGGCATAGAGCAGAACTGGGCACCTTCCACCCCAGTCCCCAGGCCTCCCCACCTCCGCCCTCCTGGGGAGGAGACCCACCCCAGACAACCTTGCCCCAGCTGCTTCCTCCGTTGCCTCCAGCCCCTTATCTCCCGCTGACCCATTCCTGATGGCCTATTTCTGGCAGCGACCTTGGCCTGTGCCTTTGATGGCTGTGGCGGTCTGTGGGACTTTCAAGCCCGGTTTCCACCACCTCACGAAGGAGAGGCCTGGCCTTTGGCCCAGGCCAAGGACATGCCCAGCCTGGCACTGGGCACTGCCCCCTCCTCGGGCCTCGTCCCAACCTCAGCTCAGGTACATGCTCACCTGTCAGCTCTCCGATGACACCCTCAGCCTCCCTGGGTCTTGTCACCTGGGAGGAGCAGGTGAGTAACCAGGCTCACTTCCCGGGCCGCCTGTCAGGCCCTGAAGGGCCTGCTGCCCTGACCTCCGCTCCACCCGCTCCAGTACTGCCTCCCCAGGCACACTCTCCTCTTCAACACATAAGTCTGAGCAGGCTGCCTGCTGCCTGGAATCCTCCATGGCTCCCCAGTGCCTTCTGACTGGGCCACAGCCTAGAGGCCCTGCCCGCACAGCCACCCCCACCCAGGGCTGCTAAGCCACTTGCCCCCGAGCCTCTGCCCCCCAAGTCCCTCTGCCAGGACTCAGCCCAGGCCCACCTTCCTCAGAAGGATCCGGCCCCCGCCCAAGCCAGCCTGCTTCTATCCTTACCCTCCCCACAGCCTTCCACTGGTCAGGCCCCTCATGCCCCCTCTCACCAATGCCCAGGGAAACACTGGCAGACCCTTGAGGCCTGCCCTCCACACACCCAGGATGCTGAGCCCTCTGGGATGGAAATCCTGCCTTCCAAATGGGACTCCAAGGACTGGAGATCACCCCAAACCCCTCTGCAGGGCTGGGTACACCCTAGTGAGGCCCTTGGGGCTGCTGAGGCAGGAGGTTCAGAGCCCAACAATGAAAGGTCCCCGTGCTGGGCAGTGAGAGGTGGCAGAAGTGCCCGACCTCACCTGGGGCCGGGGACCCATCGCAGCAGCCCCGGGCAGGGGACGGCATCACTGAGAACCAGCTGTGCCCAGGGTCTAGTCACTAGCCCAACACTCTCTATTCTGGAAAGGCAGACTCAGCCGGTAGGGTCACAAGGGGCCGACACCTGGGCTCCGGTGAGGCAGCCCCAAAAACCTGGCTCTCACCCCCGACAGAGCTGGAGCCTCCCACCCCACCCAACCCAGGGCTTAGCCCCTTTCCTGCAGTCCTGAGCCACCGCCGTCTGAGACCAGATCTGACTCACCCCCACCCCCAGCGCCCAGTGCTTAATCCCACAGGAAGTGGAGGCATCTGTCAGCAGCAGCTGCCACCCGGAGCCTGGCCCCACGTGGCTGGGGGCCTCAGGGTGGGGGCGCGGGGCCCAGCACGCTCTAGAACGAGTCCCAGAAGCCCCAGTTCCGGCCTGGCTTAGGACTGGAGGTGCGTGCCGCCGGCCAGCTCTCCCAACCCCAGTCAAGAAGGATCTGCCTGTTTGCACACTCCCAGGAACAGGGTACTCACTGCCTTCGCAGCAGCCCTTCCCGTCCCCTGGGCCATGCTGACTGGCCCCTGTGCCTCCAACTGCAAGCCCGCGTGCCCGGCCCCGACTCACTTGTACATGGCAACGCGGCGCAGGTCGGAGGGGACCAGCCGGTAGCCACACTCCTCCCAAGCTTCCTTGCAGGCCACCTCCTCCAGCGAGACCCCCAGCTGGTCCACAAGGCCTGCGCACAGCTCGTACGTCACCCCCACCGAGCCCGGCAGGGCCGGCAGCAGCCCCTGGGGTGTATCCTGGTCTACAGCTGCCAGGGACCCCGGGAAGCGGCGCTCCACCTCGCCCGCATACACAGCTGCGTGGGGGGAGGAAGAGCACCCCCATGTGAGCCACCCTTACCAGCTGCCCTGGGCCAGATCCCCTTTACGGGGCCTCAGCTTCCCCCGGAACCCCCTCCCCACATCTGCACTCAGACCCTGGGGACCACAGGGGCCAGGCGGGCGGGGTGGGGGCGGTGACCCTGCAGCCCTTCCATGCTGCACCCCAGGCAGCCTCACCTGGCCGGAACTGCTTCACCAACACCAGGCACCTCCTGGATGAGTCGAACATGAGGACGGCCACGCTGCGGGAGGGCGGGGAGTGTCTGCTCAGCACACACATAACCCCTTGCCTCCCGGGGCCCTGGTTCCCGTCCTTCTGTTTACAGCCTGCTTATCTCCCCTCTCCGACAGCTCGGGAAAGGTGAGCTCCTTGCTCTGATGGAGAAACTGAGGCCCAGGCAGGCCCAGAGCTTGCCAGGCTCATAGTCAGAGCCAGGACCCAGCTTGGGGTGAGAGGGGAGCGGGTGAGGCGGGGAGAAGGGCACGTGGGGCAGCTGGG